AAATTTTTTTTTTTAATTTCATAATTTTTTTTTTTTAATAATGGTTTACTCACGCCAGGTTATGTAAATACGTTAATTAATTTTTATTGCATCTTATTCTTTTACAATTTTTTATTTGTGAGTACGGTGATTTTTTAAATTAAGGATGTTTATCACTGTTAGCTGGGGAGGTCAAAGATATGAGGAGGGCGCAAGTATGCAGCAACGCTAACAATTATTTTATTTATATGGATATACCTACATATGGGATGTTCTTTTACAAACCGGACAAATTTTTAACAAAAATTGACCTTCACATCGTCGATTCAGATGAAATTTTTTATATATGTTTTATATCGAAAAAAAAGGAAAACGTTTTTATTTTTTTTTGTTAATTCAATTCTACGGAAAGTAGAAATTGAAGCCATAAGAAATTTAAGAATTTAATCATTTTTGGCTTAGAAACTAACCTTCAATAATTCATAACTCTGCTTCTATTCCAGCTAGAATTTTTCTTCCATTTTAAAGGTAAAAAAATGAACAGTAATGAAAAAATGTTTCACAAACAATGACGAACAAATTTTAATTGTTATATACAGTTAAAATGTTTAAATCGATTTGCAACAATTGTCCCCCCTCATAGCTAGTTTTTAATGTTACTATCGTATTATACGTAAAATTTTCTATCAAATTATTTTGTTTTTACTGGGGAAACAGTTATTGTCATTGGAAATAAATCTAACTACGCAGTACGGTACGTCTTATTGGCACGCGGATTTTATTGCACGCCTTATTTTCTTGCTTCATATCGTTTTTCTTGTCATATAGGTTATTATTTGACATTTTCACTTAAATAATATTGATTAGCAAAGAAAATTAATGCATAAATTAATTGAAAAAATCAATGAATAAAAACATTATTGTAGCAATTGAATACTCTTATCCATAAGGATTTTAATACAATATTATTAGTCAATAAGTACTTTATTCTAAGTAGCATTGCTAAATATTCAGTCACATTTATACTACATCAGACTATACTATACTATACGTGTACAGTTTTGGTTTATTCAAAAATTTTTACAATAATTTTTTTTCCATGCTATGAGAATCACTTGGCGTCCAATTTTTCAGGAAAAACTGGAACCATAGAATGATGCATTAAAGTGCCTTTTGTTTTAGCTCTCTGAAAACGCGTTAATAAAATTATCAATTATCATGCTTCTGTTAGTCTCTCTAATGACAGAATTAAAAGAAAATCTTCTCTTAAAACAGTTGATTATTTTTTGAGTATATTTCTGTATTACATAAATCTCTTTAAGTTTTTTCAATTATTTCCAATGTTTTTTCTGGACTTATCGAAGCTTAATTCCAAGTAGTTTGATGAATGTATATTAAATTTTTCTTATCACTTTTGAATTCTAAAAAAGTTCACTCTATATTGTTGAAGTCTTACAGAAGTCTAAAAGTTTTGTTACTTTTCATATCTTTTCGTAGCAACTAGCAAGTGTATTATACAACCCAATAATCACAATGGCCTTTAATGAATTAAATTTAATGGCCTTGTAGGTGCTACCATCAAGATGGTAAAATAAAAAATAATTGCAGTTAATATNTTTTGAATTTAGAAAGTTTTCTCCCTATTTGAGAAATTTTTTTTTTATTATAAAAAATACTTGAACCTCCCAGTTTTAGTGTTACCATCTTGATGGTAGCACCTACAAGGCCATCAAATGCTTTCAAACAGCCCTTTGTTAAACAACAACCTATGTAAATGACGTCTTTTGAGACGTCGTGGAGTACGTCTTTTGCGACGTCGCACATGACGTCATATTGACGTCAATGTGATGTCATTCACGACGTCATGAATGACGTATTTTGCGATGTCTGGAATGACGTCATCATTGACGTCATAACTTGAGATAGGGTAAACTAGTCTTACCTTGATCTTACTGGCATCTTTATACCTTTTATGTCTTCTCCTTAATTACAAACTTTTAAACATTCAATAGTTTATGTAGCTTTATTGTAGATAGATCACCTAGTACACATTTTAATCAACTTTTTATAAAGTATCATTATAGTTAGATTTTAAAAGCAGTAGTTGTCACTAAAATCTACATACTTTTATGCGCAAAACGAATTTAACATGTAGAATTTTTGGGGTAATTGTTTGTAGGTCATATGAGGTCAGCAAAATTTTCAACCGGAATAGCCGTCTAATTATCACAGTAACGTACATAATATTGTGGCTCTAAATTTCCAAAAGAAAATTTAGCGTAGCAATTGAATTTTCAATATATACTTACTATCTGTGCCTATACATTCTACTGCTACTCACGAATTCAATAGTGTAAAATTACACTACAATTTTATTGTTTCCAGTTGTATTCAAGTTTCGAATCGTAAAAAAATTCAATGGTGGACACTGATAACGGTTTTTGAACCACATAGTTATAATGCTTATGATTATTTATGACATAAAACGAAAGTAATTACAGAATCTAAAGTGTAAATACAACAAAAACTATAACGCTGCTGAGCACAATAATGTCCGTTATTTTCTGGTGATGATTCGTATTAGAAATAAAAGTAGTTGAGAGATTTATTTTTTGTTTCACAAGTTAAGCTACCGGTAACGTACTTTACTACTTCAAAACACTAAACAGTCGAATTCAAGCATCAAAGCTGAAGTAACAGAATGGACTCTCCATATCAGTAAAAAAAATTGAAAAAAACAAAAGATTAACACATTAGCTCTATATACCACTAAAGTAGAATTTTAATAATTGGTACTCTATGTTAGTTACACTCCAGCTTGTTTTTCCCATTTTACGCCGATGCAATCAGTTTTTTTAACTTTATTAGGGGGCTGCGCCCCCTGCGCGCTCCACGCGCCAACCCCCAAAATTTAATCAAACATTGGTTTTCTGTATTTTTAAAGAAAAATACAATAATTATATCTTTGTCGTAACACGTAATATTGTACTATTTATCAACTTACAAATTAAAATGACTTCACTAATTTTTCAAAATCTCATTTTCAAATCTACCCGGGCTTGATCAGTCTCAGCCAATCACGCGACGAATAAACAGGCTTCATCACGTGACCCATCATTTTTTTAAGATAGGATTCTAAAAATGCATTAAGAAAAAAGTTGTATGCAGTATAAAAAAAAAAAAAAAAAAAAAAAACTGATATAAAATAATCCAATATGTCGTTTTTAACTGGAAGAGCATCAGATAGTGCAGTTTTTGTACAACGATCTTTATACGTCTTTTAATTTCGTTTTTTCAAGAATTAAAAATAATATAAGTTATATTTTTTCATGAAGAAACTACTTAAACAATTCATAAAGTTGTAAAATGTGCACATCTCGAAATTTACAAAAACTTAATTTTTTTTTTAATCATCTAAAACATGTTTACGTCTTGATCCAAAAAAGGGTGACCTCGTAATTGCACTCAAGAAAGTGGCAACTGAGATTTAGATTAAAGAAAGTTCTAACTTGAAGGCTTTTTTCTCAAATTGTGTAGTAGTACTGTCTTTTTTTCTTTCCTTTTAGTAATTACATATGTTGCAGAAGTAAACGTACTTAATTAAATTATTAGAACGAACAGTTATTTGCATATAGTATTACGATAAAATTAATTTTAATGAGTGTTTTAGTCATTTTTTTCGCCATAAATAACTGCTTGTTCTGATAAAATTAAATTTTTCGTATGTCCCTACGATTGATCTGATGACTAAAAGCCTGTGTCTTTTTAATTTTTACTTTAATACCAAATAAAACTGACCCTTCTGTTACTACAAAATATAAAGCAAAAAAAATTCCTTCTAGTTTCCTTCCAGCATTTTCATTAACTTGAATCGGAGTTGACACATTTTTAAAGGAAATTTTAGTTAGCATTTTTTTAAAGTACTTTTGAGTGAACGTTTTTTTGAAAGTAATTGTGAATTAAAAATTTTTTGAAGACAATTTGGAGCTCGCGCTTTTTTTGACTGAGAAGTTAATGTATCGAACAACAATAAAAAAATGAGTAAATAAAAAAAAACTGAAAAATCTAAAATTCCTGACTATAATTTTAAATATCACGTGTTTACTACATTATATTTTCACTACCAAACTCCAAAAAGAATAAGAAACTAATCATGAGTGAAAAAAATATGTATAAAATCTTTAGTTATTTAAACTTTGCTCACGATATTCTATAAAAATTGGCTGCAACAGTTATTTTGATATTTTAGAAGATTATGAAAAATTTTCGTGGTCAATTTATTAAATGTGTTTCATTTGAACGAGGTAGGGTTTTCAAACGGCTGGAAAGAGACCTTCATGAGTGGTGACCAAGAACCGTGGGTTTTCCGAGGTGGCCTTACTGCAGATTTACAGGTACTATTATCATTATAAGATAAATTAATTGCAAATAAAATGTATGGTTCAAGTTTTCTTATAGATGAACATACATTATTTGCAGATTAAACTTTCTACATATTTGTACAAGTGTCACTATTTGTTAATTATATCAAAAAAATTTTGAAATAGTTATATACAGAATTTATACTAAAATAAAAATGTGGAACTGCCACCTCAAGAGAATATAAAATTAAGGCTGGAATTTTAAGTTATGCCTGAGTTTAATTTGCTCTGGGATTACTTTTCTATACTTTAAGTGACACTAAATGGCTTTAAAAATTTTGCTAGAATTGATGTGACAAAAATTTGATCCATTTTTTTAAAAGTTAACTTTAGTTCTGTGTAATTAATTTTTTTTTTTACATGAGGTACATAGCAACAACACTCACAAAATAAAAAATTACATTGGAAATTTTTTACCATAGTTCAAAGAACCACGTATTACTATGTAACTAATCGTGAGTCAAGCAATTTTCGTATTCATTAAATTAAAATATGCTTTTCGTTTGGCAGATACAAACAAATCAACATCATGATTATGGTACAATTATTTATCAGAAAGTAACAACATGAACTTTTGTTAAGACGTAAACTTCCTTTAAATAATTAACATTATTTTCTACCAACTATAATCATTGACAGACTGAGAAAAAAGTTTGTATTAACTGTTACTTCTTTACTTACTATAGATTTAAATCTCAACTAATTTCAGAATATTACTGTCTTAACTGAAAGCTTTGATATAATTTACTAGAACAAACGGCTGGCTTTTGCATTATTGACTAAAATGGGTAACACGTTTATTTTTCAGAGATTGATACCTGTTGACAGTGGAAACGATTTATTTGTATATAAAGCACCTGAAGTGCCCACCAGTAAAATCTACGCAATTCGACCTTACTTACCAAGCGATGAGGAGGCTGTCTATGCAGTTTGCAATCAAGTTTACAGCTGTGGTACATCTTCTGCTGTGGCAGATAGGTATGAAATCTACATCTCATTACTGTAATATTATACCGCAACTTATATGAGATTTCTGTTAATTATTATGTTGTAAATGCAATTTTAAGTCTCTTCCATAAGGTTACATATTTAATTGAAATTCAAAAAATATATATGTAAGAAAGAGTACAGTGAAACGATCTGAAATTTTGTACTGGATATTTTTATGGTATAACAATATACGTTAGTCTTATTAGATCTTGACATGAGTCAGGTGCCGTTATCATTGAGCTGGGTCCGAATTTTACACTTTTTCATTCCTCAGTAAGAAGAAGTAGAAGGGGACTAAGAGAAAATAAGTTTTTTTTTAATCTGAAGCCAGAAACTAGGTTCTGTAAGATTTGTAATTATACTTCCTTTTCAAACTAAGAAAAAACTGCAAGTTTTCAGTTGTAAACATAAAGGGCAGTCTTGCGATAATTAGGTTTCCAACATACTTTTGTTACAATTAGTTAACATTACAACAGTTTGCATTACAACTATCCAACAACAGGCTGTTAATCGAAAACAACAAGTTAACAGAGTACATGCACATTCTTGGTACTTTAAAAAATAAAACAAATTCAAACTTAGTAAAAATGATTAAGAATTCAAGATGAAAAAGTAAATCATCAAATGTTGTACTAATATCTTGAACTTAGCCAAAATCAAGTTTCGTTTATTATGTGTAGGTTCAAAAATGTGTAACTACTTTTTTTTCGAAGAATTACATTAAAACTCACGGTCACTAATAACATCATTCATCATTCAAGCAACATGTAGGCTCTCATACAATTAATTTAGATTCCTTATTAATAGCTTCTGACAATTCTCAGAAAAAAATCTTCTGATTAAGAACATATTAGTTCGGAATCCATACAGTTTACTTGGTCAAATAATAAGCTGTAAAAAGTAAAAAAAATATAATTATGCTGAAAAATACCGTGCGTTCCTTATGTCATAAAGTAATCATTGACCCTAAACGGCTGTTGAGTTGCAGTTCCACCCGTATAATCTACAAAAGGTGTTATTTTTTAGAGCTGTACAGGCTTAAAACTCACAAAAAATATATAATTAGAAAATTTTTTTCTCTTACCTTACAACTTTATTAGCAGAGCAATAAAGTCCTGGAGCCCAATCTCTACATTTTTTATCGCCACAAAAATACAAATACAAATTCTACCTATTTGAAAATCTGGAAGATTTAAGAGATTACTGAGATGATTTTAATGAGAAGCTGATCTCCCACTTGACAGATTCTTTATTTGTCGATTTTGCTGCTGCTTTAATATCGATAAATATTCTATGTCAATTTCTCGACGCCTAAAATTGTATACATTAGATGCATTAAAATTTTTCCTTCCAATTGGCCTTCTTGCGACTTTTAGCATGGTTAAGACTTTAGTGAGCCTAACCGGCTGTTTTTGTCAACTTTGTTAAGTTCTAATATACTTTTTGACAAGGTATTTCGACGTCCAATGGCCCCAAAAAGGACTGGTAATCTTCTTAACTAAACTTTTTCTCGACTGAAGTTTCCAGTAAACGTGACTGCCTCGATACCTTAGGGTAATCTTCTCTGGCCTGCTGTTGTTGCACACGACTGATCGGGAGAAAAACTACAACGTCTGAAGCTTTGGAGCTAGTTGTAGAACTCTTTTCCAACGTCTCCTGTTATTACGCCAAAGAAGTTAGTATCGAAAGCACCTTTTTTTGCAGACTCGGTTGTTTTGGTGATCTAAGGTGGGGAGATTGGTTCGTTATGCTTGCCCATTGGAGACTGTCCCGTTTGCTGAAGTTTGTTTTTCTTTCATAGCTGTTAGCTTTGTTCAGCGCAGACATCGAAGAGGGTCGGTGATTCCTGGTTGAAACTTGGAGTCGAAAGGGTAATATAGGGTCGGTGGTCGCCGGGGTTCCCAGCCTTGCGACGTACAACTCCGCTTGTGACGTCTGCTAGTGAATAACTGACTTAGTTAAACGGTGGCTGACTTTACATAGTCGACAAATCGTTGGTGAAGATGGTAGTAACTATGTATTTGTGGACAATGTAGTTTAACCATAGGTGGTCCTTAAAAGAACCGATGAGATTGATGGTTCAGTAAGGAACGTAAATACTTATGATGGCCCTGAAAAGAGCCAGCGGTAAAACTTCGAGCTATTTCGTATTATTATTTTTGATGATGGAGAGCTGGCTATGGGTAGCTTGACTCTTACCCTCCGAGTCTTTGTGTATGGTGACCGTGCTGGAGGGAGGTACGCCGCTGACCAAAGAATATCTTGTCTTCGGATCATTTTCTGGATAACCAACTGCTTATTGTCAGTCGGGAAAGTGGGCCTGGAGAATACCTTCTCTGTATATGCCTTTGGGACGATCACTGAGAAGGAGGCCGTAATGGCTGCCTGAACTCCTCAGAGTTGTTTTTCCTGGCTCTTTGTTGTAGCAAAATCTGCCATGGTAGCCCCAGGACGATTAGAAGAATTGCTATGAAACCCCAAAATGTTAGAGCAGATTGTGCTCTGGCATATTTTTATATGGCTTAGCTCTCTTTTCTCAAATTTTGCCTTTTATTTACACTTTGATCAACTTGCCTTTGTTAGTCTGTACCTCATAATACAGATGTATCAACTCTACACCTACCACTATGCAATTTAACTATCAGTTACAGTGAAAAATAGAAATGCTCAAAGTCATATGGAAGAAGTGATTAAGTATCTTGAGATTGACATATTGAAGTCTTAAAATTACTTGGAATAAATCAATCGTGATGTCCCATAAAATATTGGGCCTCGGTAAGATACGTCAACACCTTTGATTATAAACCCAATAACGATTGATTCAACTAACTTTTTCTTTTTCTTGTTTTCCAATAACTCTTATTCTAGTTATATTGGTTCATATAATTTGTGCAGTAGTATAATATCTTCCCCAACACTTTTTTTTCAGACTTTAATTTTGTGGCGGTGGAATGACCAAGCTCGACAAAAAAATGCACAACAATTATCTTCGTCACCTTACTGTCTATAACATGTAAATGGAGTCACTTAATTAAAATTTAGGGTCCATTTTACCTCATTGCGTCAACATTTTTTACAACGTCAAACAAAGTCTTAAAATCCTAAAAAATTCTCTATCCGTTGATCACTTAATCTTAATAATCCTATGATCCCTCAACATTTTCATCGCTTTATACCTTAAACCATAAGTTCCAGAAACTCAAGGGTCCCTGATGCATTAAACTCTAAATGTTATAACTCCAAAACCCCAAAACCGAGTAAAAAAAGACTTTTGTGCATTAAAGCACTGAAATACAGAATGATTGAACCATACATATTTCTTAAATCTTAAACCCGTGTTTATTAAATCAATCTTAGTGAGGACTCCGTCATCTGTATGCATTTATACTATATCTACAGCAAACGAATTGTACCATCGTAACGAGAAATGAGTGATTTTTATCGATCTTAAAGAGATCGATTAATTTCTCAGTTAAAAAATCAGTTTTTAAAGATTTTTTGTATGATCGATTTCGAAACGATCGATTTTTTTGAATGATCAGTCAGAACCTGTAAAATAACCATTTGTTCAATAACGTTCTTAGGCATAACGCAAAACTTGTTTGGGGCTTAATTCACTAACTTCGTCAGTCTTCTCACTTAGGGAGAAAATTGCTTCTCTCATGTGAGATTTCTAAATCAGAAAGTGTCGACCAATCAGAGATCTTTTTTAGCCCTTAGTTGGTGCTCTGATTAGTCGAAATTCTCTCACAAAACATTTTCCCCCTCAGTAAGAATGCTGCCAAAGTTTGTAAATTGGGACCTAGTGGAACCTAAGATTTTCATTAAAAAATTTCTATAGTTATATAGTAAATACAATTCTGTTTCAGTTTTGAAGCATTCCAGTGATTGAATAGATATAGTAATACTTCTTTAATAGTATTTAAAAGCGCAGCTTACTCTTAATACGAGTAAACTCTTTAACTCTATTATATTTTTTCAATAAAAAAAAATCAATTTTTTAATCGATCTTTTTTATTTTGATCAATTTGAGACTATCGATTTTTTTTCGAAATCACCCATCCCTAATTGTAACCTCAAATGGCTGTCACAGAAAAAAAAAATCTTTTTTTCAATGCAGGCTAGCCCCGTACAGTAGGAGTATAACGTATTTTTTCAATCAAAAACAGTATTAATACGCTTTAATGACGGGTTCACTGATAATTTTCCGAGAGTTAGGTAGTTAGTACAGGTATCACAAACATAAAAAATGTGTTTGGTTTATAAAGATCATCGTGTTCATATAGTCTACACAACGTCGTAGATGTATAATGTCTTTAAGCTTTACACTTCTTAGAGGCCAAACACCCCACTTTCACGAAGCTGCGGTCGTATAATGACGACGCCTGTATACCCACTTTCTCAACCTAACAAACCACTGATCCTGGGAATCTAAACCCCTCCTTCGTAAACTTGTTCCATGTGTTTGCCATGATGGTAAAAATAACGTTATTCAGGATCTCTGCTGGATGACGGAATAATTCCGTTACTCACCGTAAACTACGTAGAAGTGCCCTTATCAAGCTTGATTGTAAACACATGAATAAGTATTACGTGAAAATAGCAATGATGTACAAAAATTTAACTCCTGAGAGTTGGCACATAATCTTATCTTTTTCTATGGAGTTTTAGGGGTAAAGCATTTAAATTTTTAAAGGGTTAAAAAAATTAAGGGATTATAAAAATTTTGGAGTTATGGAAGAATATAGGTTTAAGGCTCAAGAAGTATGCATATCTTAAACGTAATGTAATTAAATGTGCACAAGCTTTCTTTGCATTGGATTATAAAACTTCTGAGATATAGAGTTTTAAAGTTATCACTTATCGAAAAATGTGGATGTAAAGCGTAAGAAGCATACATTAAACATACTGTATTTCAGAGCTTTAACGCACTTAAATTTGTTTCTTAGGAAGTCCTGGGGCCTGGGATTTCTTAGAGTTTACGGGAT